AAAGAAAACTAAAATGTTACGCAAGTTTGCTGATGTGACAAAAAGTTTGGCCTGCATGATTAAAATAAACCTGAAGTCTCAAGATGCACCAACAAACCTGAAATTGTAGGGCTTTGAGAGAAGATAGAGAAATTAAAATCACCATCATTTCCTCCAGCAACAGTCCACCATCATTCCATCCATGTCAACATTCACCTTGCCGTCTTCCTTAATCACCATTTCCTCTCAGCTCTGTTGAGCTTGCTTTCAGTTGGGAGAGTTCCAAGTCATTGATATTTCACCACTTTTCTGAGATGTTCGTCATATAGAGGGTGATAGAATGCACAGCAGCTGTGTTGAGTGAAGGAGAAGACGAATAATTACGATTTATGATAATGATTTCAGTTTGGGAATTTCTGCCAACCTTGTACGTATTCTTGGAGTGTAATCTGTTATGGTTTCAGTTGAAAGAATCAGTTATAGAAAGATCGAATGCCTAATTCAATACAAAATAGGAAGTTTTCAGTGTGCAATGGACATTGAAACAGTGTTTGAGGATCAGTATGGTGATTAGTCAATAATGGACTTCCCTTACCAGATTTCTTCGATTGCGAAATTGATTCTGTTTATAGTATGACCTTTTGGAAGCATTGGGCGTTTGGTTTAACATGGTTGTACCTTTTCTTCGGTCAATTGTCATAGTTGGAGTCGATAACTTTTCTTTTTTTTACTCTTAAATTGCTGTTTTATATGTATAATGCTGGCTTCTCAGATGTTCAGGATTATTATGTATTTGTCAAGAGACGGATAATGCGACTTTACTGCAAAAAGGTTTATTTCGCCACCTGATGATCCCCCATATAGTATTCTTCCACTGCTTCAGGCTGAGATTGCTGAGATTTAAATTTTCTGTTTATTAAGTTAAATAAACGAATATAAACTAACATTATATGAACAATTCACAAATATCTCATTAAATATTTTGTTCATTTAGATCTCTAGTTGTAGCTTGTTTTCTCCCGACAGGTTTAATTGCTTTTAATCATTTCTGAAGAGAGGACACGATTTCATAATTCATGAATGCGTTTTCAAGAGTTTAAACACAAATTATTCAACTTGTTTTCGTTTCATACTAATGAGTGTCATAACATCTCCCTCGAGGATCCGTTAGATTTAAAAAATTTATTTGGGGAAGACGATGAAATATAATTTTGAAAACAATTAGATTTTGGAGTCGCCACTAACTTTTAAGTTAGGTATGTTGGAAACCTTAAACATCATTTTAATGAGTTTAGAAAAATCATTAAAAGACGAAAAATAGTTTGCGTTTTATCAAAAATTCATTTTTAAGAGTTTGAGAGTCGATTACGTGTAGGGAAGGGTAAGCATCCACACAACGCCCAAATTTTGGTACCTAAACGATTATATGATGCTTAAATATTGAGAATTACAAACTCGAAAATTATTTAAATTTCGATCATTCTATTTATTTGAATTTATTAAAAGAAGTCAATTTTCAAAAAAAAAAACTAAAACAATGATGCTTTTGCCAATAAGGAAATAAAAATTTGACGACAAATTATAAATGTTGTGGGTACAAAAAATTAAAGAGCCCAAAAGATATTTTCTATTTTCTAGAATAAGGCTAATTATTTAATCAAAAAAATTATAATTATTTTTATAAGAGAAAATACATCATTTTGTACGAACAATCCTTGAAAATGCAATTCCTTTATAGTTAGGAGAATTTTTCATGGATTCCCCTCACAAAACGGTGTTTCTTTAATTTTATGGATGATATAGTTTAAAAGAGTATAGTATTATATTAAATTTTAGAAATATTCAGATAAAAGAATGTCTTTTTGTGCAAACAATCATTAGAAATGCACTTCCGTTGTAGTTAGGAGACTTTTCCATAGGTTCCCTTCACAAGAATACATTACCTCACATTTTCCTCATATCAAAGATAAAAATAAAATAAAATAAAACAAAATAAAAATAAAACGAGGGGAAAAATAATCAAAATAAAAAATATAAAACAAAGAAAACTATCAAATACAAAAAAAAAAACCTTTGTGCGAAAAATCTTCGAAAATACACTCTCTCTTGTTGTTGGGAGATATCTTCATAGATTTCTCTCACAATAAAATTTTCTTATTTACATATATAAGAAAAAAAAGATGATTTATATAAAAATAAGGTGTAAATTATAATATATATATGCGCGGAAAAAAAGTAGTAATAATAAAGATAACCAAGTTCGGTTGTAAATCTAAAAATCTAAAATACAAGTTAAACATCGGTAGCCTACTAGCATAAACAAGGGGCCAACATGCAAGCTTTCTAAACCAACTAGCAAGATTATAAATACCAATCAAATAAGAGGGTAAATAAATAAGGTTGAAACGTAAGTGGTAAAAAATATAGGCCCTACATGCAAATATACCACAAGCAAGACCAGTGACTAAAACAAAATAAAGTGTAAGTTAAGATGCTAAAAGGTAAATGCAGAAAATTAAATGTTGGAAATTAAAAGAACTGATATAAAATGTAGGAAAATTAAAGGGCAGAAAAATAAAGTAATGGAATTTAAAGTGTTGGAAAAAAAAAACAGAAATAAATTGCATAAATTTAAAAGTTAGGGGGTTAGTTTGTGCAATAAAATAAAGTGTTAGTAAGTTAGTAATAACAATAGAAATAAAAAGGTAAGTATGTTAATATGAGCAATAAAATATAAATTAGAATGTTAGTAAGTTAATAAGAACAATAAAAAAAGCTAGAATGTTAGTATGAACAATAAAATAAAAGTTAGAATGTTAGTATGAACAATAAAATAAAAGTTAGAATGTTGTTAAGTTAGAAAAGTTAGCGGTTAGTAAGGTTCGAACCATAATAATGTGGATCATATCCCGAATCGGGTCACCACAAGGTCAAATCGAATAATTCAAACAAATATATAAAAATAAAATAAAATAAATAAAAGTTAGTGGTTAGCAGAGTCCAAACCATAATAATGTGAATCATACCTCAGATCTGGTCACCGCAAGATCGAATTGAATAATTCAAACAAATATATAAAAAGAAAATAAAATAAATCAAATAAAAAAGGTTAGTGGTTAGCATAATCCAAACCATAATAATGTGGATCATACCCCATATCTAGTCACCACAAGATTGAGTAATAAGAGAAACAATAAATAAATAAATAAATAAATAATGGTTAAAGTGTAATAAAATAAAATCAGTGGTTAATGTGCGATAAAATAAAAGTTAGCAGTTAATCCAAAATAATAAAAATGCATAGATCAGTGACCAAATTGAAATAAAGCAAATCAGGGGGTCAGAAACGCAATAAATAAAACAAAAGATGCATAGTAACCCAGATGTAAAAACAAGGCTACAGATGGAGGATCCGAGTGTAATTTTACTCTAAAATAGGCGACCAAAACAAAAAAGTGGTACTAAAAGAGGGTGCTTAGACTTTATTTACCCTTTTTCTTAAAACCAGAATATTTCCCCCCCATTTCACGTGAACTTGGCCGAGAAGCTCACTGAAGCTTCGAAGCTCAAAACCGCCGGCCACACACCGTTCGACGGCGTCACCCACCGGGCCGGTGATCACCCTACTCCAACCGGTGACCCCGAAACTACCAAAGTAAGCCCGACCGAAGGCTTAAACGACCAAAACTTTCCCTCCGTTAAACTGTCTTTCTCGTTCTCTCTCCCTATGCCGAGAGGCTTAAAACGAGCCTCAACGCCGACCACCACGCTTCCTCTGATCAACGGAGAACACCCGAACTCCGACCGACGCCCGAACCGAACTAGGAAAATCCAACAAAGGTCTAAGGGACCAAGCTTTTCTTCCTCTCTTTGCTCTCGACCAAAGCCCCCCCCCCAAGGACCTTACGAGCTTACCACCGGTCACCAACAGCCCGAGCTTCCTGGGCGAGAGATGGCCTCTCTCTCACACTCCAGCCACCGCTCAACAGTGACCACCCTTATGCATCTATACTATCCCGAAAAAGAAAGAAAATAAGAAAGAAGAGAAGGAAAAGCCATGTTTTATTGTTTTTTTTGTTCGATTACAAGAAGGGGGGGGGGCTTTACATTGCTTGCTTTTTGGCTTTAAAGCACATATTACAAATGGGTAAATTGTTATCTTAGTCCCTGGATTTTTTTCTTTATTTTATTTTAGGACAAAATTAAGGTATTACAATGAGTGGGTGAGTAAGTGAGTTCAAGCTTTAATATGGATTTTTCAACGTCCGGAGGTCTTAGCTTAGTAGTTGTGAAATTGGAGGCTTTGACTTAATGGAAACTTGATAGGTTTCACTAGTTGAGTTATATCTTAAATTTAAGTATTCTTATATAAATCATTAAATTTTATTTTGGTTTAAGTCTCACACGCATTATAATTGGGTGATCAACGTAAAGTTAGTTATGATTTTAAGACAAAAAGTAATTGAGTGATCAAAATGGAAGAAAAATGATAATTAAATATTAAACCTATAGTTTATCCTAATTCACCGCAACTACAACCGAGCAAAGTGTTATGAAAAGTTAGGCAGTAAAATCGACCCAATAGGTCAGGGATAAAAAATTTTGCTCATTAAACCATCTCCAAAATTAATTTAAGACTTACGACAAATGCTATGGTGTGAGAAACTTGTCACGTCTACATGATAAGTTTATTTAAATAATATTTTTTATTTAAATTTATTGACGTGACGAGTTTCAAGTTATTATAATAAATATCATAAATTTCAAATTATTTTAGAGATGATTTAATAGGCTAATTTTTTACCGCCCCACCTATTGGACCAATTTTTCTTAAGTTAGACTCTTTTCGATTGAAAAAAGAAAAAAAAGGTATTTCAGCGATTGAGATTAATGATATAGGCCCATGTAGTTAGGGGCTTCATTTAGGTTGAGCCCGCCCAATCCAAACACAAAAATAGAATTCTCAATTCTCAGATTGTGGCTATTGTATATTTACAAAAGGAAATTATGCTAGTTCGTTTGCTCGGTGTTTTTTCAGTGGAGATGGCGGCACTCAGAAGACTCATCATCAGAACCTCCAACCCCTCTTCCCTTCTTATTTCCCACAGAGGTATCACCTCTAAGCTCTTCGTCGGAGGTACTTCACTCATCTATTTCTCTCTTTTTTCTGTATCATATGATTTCTTACCTTTGAATTTTCTTATACGGAATCATCAGTTTATCCTGTAAATGGAAATGCTTGACCAATTTTCAATAATGATATAAATATTCTTTTGAGAGAAATTCACTTCTGCTCCGGCTCATTTTAATTGTAAATGGAGAATTTAGTAGATTTATAGAAATTCACCTCTGTCTATGTTGATAGTTATGACACTGAACAGATATTTGCTTAAACTAACAGGTCTGTCCTTATATACCACGGAGAAAGGGTTATCAGATGCATTTTCTCAGCATGGTCAAGTTGTGGAAGGTCAGTATGTGATTGAATCCTTATCTTTATCTTGATATTGAGCAATAATCCGAGGGATTTACGAATTGGTTTTTCTCGAACTCGTGATAACATTGTTGCTTTTACCAGCCAAAATTGTAATGGATAGAGTTTCAGATAGGTCAAAAGGTTTTGGGTTTGTTACTTATGCATCGAAAGATGAAGCCGAGAAAGCAATAGCTGAGATGAATGGAAAGGTAAACCATTCTTTTCCATTCCTTTGTCTTCATAGATATGGAGATCTTAGTGGTTTTGTAAATAGTTAAGTGATTATTGACAGGATTTGAATGGCCGTGTAATTTTTGTGGACTATGCTAAACCCAAACATAATTTCGGTGGCGGAATGCCAATTGCAAGGGGACCTCCTGATTCGGCCGATAAAATACATTTCCAAGACACTGGCATTGAAAATTAGGTAAAATCCTATGTTACATGCAAAACATCTTGCCATAATAATTCGTTCATACGATAGTAATAGTGGCTTCTAGTAATTTCAGTTTCATATAGCTGCCCAGAGGACTGCACAGCAACAGAAGCAAGAAGTCATAGAAGTTTGCATAATAATGTTTTTAGGTCAATGATTTCGGTAAAGATCATTGGGAAAATGTTACTTACATAGGTTGGTTTAGCCTTCGAGTGTATGTTGTAGTTGCTTGGTTGGGTACAATATGGTCTTGAATATTATTCTAAATTACTCAAGTTGATTTGATTCTCTTTATTCGGTAAACTATTTTCCTTTCTAACTAAGCTTAGTTTATTTAAAATTGCCAAACCTTGGTTACGTACCAGTGTGGTATGAATGCATATAATTTATTACTAGCATGTAAAGTTTACGCCAGTGATTCGTATAAATGGTTTTCAGAAAACATTTTCTAGAAAATGTAATTCATTTTATGTAAAATATTTTCTGGAAACTGTTTTTACTGAAATAAACATACCCTTAGTTTGGATTTCTGAATAGATGGTCCAATTGAAGAGGGCAAAATAGGATGAGTGGGTTGAAATCTTGGTTTGGTTGGTGCTGGTGCCGAAAGTTACCATTAGCATTTTTTTTCTTTATTAATTGATAGGTGGAATTGCATTTTCTCATCATAGTACTCTTATGCAGCTATGAAGCTTTTAGGGAGCATGCAATTTAATACGAGGATGTAGTTAGGGGTGAGCAAAATTTGATTCAACTCAATTTCTTTTATTTCTAAAATTTAAGTTATTTGAGTGAACTCGCTTTAATGGTTTGAATGTTGAGATTGAATCGAGTTTGAATTTTAGAAGTTTGAAATATTGAATATTAAAATTATCTTTTTTGATTTTTAGCTTTTGTTAAGTAATTTGATTATTTTGTGATTTGGTTTATACTTTTTTTGTTTCCTTCCTTATTCTTTTTGTTTTAAGTTCATTTTGACTAAATTTAAGTCGCACGCTCCTCAATCACCGTAGAATATATGCTTAATTTTAATTTCTCTTTTTGACCATACATTTCCTTTTTGCAATTTAGCTTCTTAACTTTGTATTTTATTAAATTTGGTTATTTAATTTTTTTTCTTCACATCAATTTCACTGTGGTTAATCCTTTGTTCTCAAAATTATTTCTTTTAAAAAATAGCATAAATATAGGGTAAACAATGTGAATAGTCCCCTTTATTTTTAGTATGATCGATTTTGATCATGGTTCAAAAATTAAACACGTTTGATCCTTTATGTTATCGATCTGTTTGATTTTACTCATTCAACCTGTAGACACATAATTTCGTCCCATTCTCATAGCACATATTTATAATATATATATTTATGTTTATTTAACGTATATATATACATGTATATTTATTTACTATTTTTATTTATTTACAGGATCAACAAACATTTAATACACATTAGGCTTAGCAGTGACCCGTTTTAAGCAGCCCAGATGGCCCAGCAGTAATTAGTGCAACTCGGTTCAAGACCCAAAATCGAGTTCATGACCCGAACTAGCAAGCTAGGGTTCTATAACCCTATCCTCTTTTCCACTTGCGTCGCTTCACTCCAACCGTCAGATCCAAGGATGATCCAAGGGCCCGGATCAAAGATGAAACTAGGGTTTTTTTTACCCTAGTTGCTTCCAGCAGTTTCTCACCCATCTCAACAACGTCGCACGACTCAGCCGAAGACTCCTCGCCTCATGCCTCACCGATATTCCCGGTAGTTCTCTTGGCAACAATAAACAACCACATCAACAAACAGATCGAAAAGTCTAGTTTCATTAGGACTCTAATGAGCTAAAAAAAGTATATTTTTATTATAAATAACGCATGTAACACACAAATCATGATAGGAATACATAGAGATTACACGCGAAAATACACAAAAATACTCAACAAATATGCAAGGAATACGAGAGGAAAATCAAAACTCGAGCCTTGTAAACGTTTTAAGAAGAAATAAAAAGGTGGAAGTTTATACCTTCCTTATTTCTTTTCCCTTGCATGCGTGGTTTTCTTGTCGTTTTTACTCGAAAAGACAAAAGATTTGGGTCGATGAACACAAGGGAACCGAAATATTTTCTCTTAAATCTACGGTTCCCCAAGGCTCGATTGTAAAAAATACTTCGATTTTTAGAACAAGGACACGAAGGCCTAAAAGAAAAATGGATTTTTTTTGGGGTTCGCGGCCAATGACCAGCCTCGATCAATGGCGATCGGCGAGGCGGCGCAGCGTCGGATTCTGGGAAGCACGGCCCATGTTCTTCATTTGTGAAGAACGAGCGAGAGAAAAATAAGAAATGAGGGGGCTTGGTGTTAAATTGAGAAGAATGAAAAATTATCAAAATCTGTTTTGCTTTTATATTCGACCCGTGGGTGCCCGTCGACCCGACCTGTCCATTACAGGACCCGCGTGTTTTCCAATTAAACTGGGGAAACCCCCATTTTGTCCCCTGTTTTTAAAGTATTTAATTTCCCTCCTATATATATATATATATATATGTTTTTTAAATCATTTTTATTTGATTTTTTGTTAATACTATATTTATCATTTTATATATGTATACAAATTTTTAATAGTTTATTTATAAGCCTATTATTATTATTATACATATTCTTTTTATATTTTTATTTTCTTTCTTCATCCTTTGCATTAATATTTTTTAATATTTTATTTATGTTTACTTATATTTTTCCTATGCATATATGTATCTATTTTACCTTATTATTATTATTATTATTATTATTATTATTATTATTATCATTTTTATTATTTTTACTTTATTATTTTTCTTATCTTTTATTTTCTTCTTTTATTCATGTTTCTATTTAATTCTATTTTTTTGTTTATGTTTCGTTTCATATTTGTTTTATCTTCATTTTTTCTATTTTGTGTTGTTTTCTTATTTTTTTGTTTATTTTGCTTTTACTTATTTGATCTTTTTGTGTTTTGTTTATTATTTCTCTCTTACATCGATAATGTGCTTCACTACAAGGCTAACATCTTTAATCTTTTAAGGGTATTTTCACCAATTAGAGGTAAGTAACTGGGATCTTATTTTTACTTTTAAATTTAACATACAATTTTCTTAATTAAATGCAACTGAAAATTACGTAGTACCGAAAAAGTAGGCAAGGGTGCTAACCCTTTTTTGGTTGTAACTGACTCCCGAATCCGACACATCTTTGGTAAGACGTAGATCAGGTAAGAAATATGATATCTGATCAATCCATTTGCTTTAAAATAAATGATCGGTGGTGACTCCAAACCAATTATTTCAAGTCGAAGTCTAATTCCGGGGCACACCCGAAAGACGGCCGCGACACAACCATTAATGTTCGTTAAACCATTCTGCGAATAGTCATTTACGTTAGCAGGTTGGATGAACCAAAGTTAAAGAGTTAAAGGTTCAACGTACCAAAGTTAAAGAGAAAGGTATAAGATTTTCATTAGCAGTGGTCAAACCCCGAAAATTCCATTCCAGATGGATCTCATTTTCTCCATTTGTTTGTTATGTCTCGTATCCGTGTTCCAAATTAAGATTTTCAACTTTAAATGCTCATATAATACAATATTAATATAATTTAACATTAACCCTAACATGTAATTTTTTAAACTATACTCAAAATTGACTTTTATACCTAATAATTTTTTAATAAAAACATTAACACTAACGCAATTTGGATTTGTACGTATACACACATGGATTTTAGAAACTACATTTACACAAGTGAATAAATGTGACCACACAGTTTGGCTTGGTATCCGTGGAAACTCTGACTTAGGTAGAGACGGTTTCGAGCTACCGACTATAGGGTCTCGGTCCTTCCAGGCATACCCTGGTTGTTCAGCTAGGTTTTGGGGAAGATCCGGTTGCACATTGGACCAAAATAGAAGTCAACTCACCTGCCAAACCACTGACTGCGACTCAAGCCAAGTCTAATGCAGTGGCAGAGGTGCAACTCCACCGACCACTTTAGTAGAATTCACGACCGGGTCATGCACCAAGGATTTATACGATGTTAGCTTCGTTGACCGTTACAACTTGCCAATGATCGCGGAGGCAAGCGGCGGGTAGGCACATGCTTGTGAACAGAATGCGTTAGATTTGTTGAACCGACTGTGCCCGTCAGAGTTAAGGGCTAGTTCCGGTGAGGCATGTAAGAGTGCGTGAGAGGCTATCGAGACTCCTGAGTATAGATGCAGCGGCGAGTATGCTACTCCCAATGCCTGTAAACCGTCTGTTTATGCGGGGATGTTTAGAACTTTAAGTGGCTTGCCCAAGATCGTATAGCTACGCATATGATGATGCTACGAGCACATTTATATGTACCGGAGCTGACTATATGATTACATTCTGCCCTTCATCAACAAGGCAAGTATTGACGACATAGCAATATTCTATTATTTCTTTTCCTTTGCTTTTTTTTGTAATTATCCTATTTTTGAATTTTCGGAAACATGCTTCACCAACACCGTACTCTTTACCGTCATCGTAGTGCTTTGACAAGTCTAATGAATGGCTGTAATTACCACTCTTAGTGATTGAAATGACGCCGGCGACTTCATTAATCTGGGAAATTGAATTTTCTATAGAAGCCAAGTGAAATGTAAACAAAATAACCTGCAGGGAGGTCAACGTGGAAGGTGGGATCACCAGATGCTTCGCTCTTTATGACAGTCTGCATATTTAGAGAATGTTTTTCCAAATTTAAAGAGTGCAACTTTGGTATAAAAATGGAAAAACTCTAAAAAAGAACCTAAATAGGAAGAACTAAAACCGTACATTGGGTTAAGTGACATTAACGGTTGAAGGACTTAAACCGAACGGATCGATAACGTAAAAGACATTTATAATGTAATTTTAGATGTTATGTGATTTTTGAATCGGTGACCAAAATTGATCAGACTGAAAACAAAGAGGACTATTCACATAGTTTACCCATAAATATATAATGTAATTTTAGCTGTTATGTGATTTATTAAATAATAATATAAATCTTGTATTATGCCATATATGATTAGGGAAATTTGTTTAAATTGAAATTAATCATTATTATAATATTATAATTAATTATAATTAATTTTGATAAAGAATTGAATATATATATTTAATTCATCTTGAGTGGAATTATAGTAGA